ATTCACGGCATTCGTTCAATTCCATTGCCTTTTGAACATCAGCCGCCGACATGGACCAACGATTGCACCAGCTTCCTGTTTGCCAGCCCCTGCCGCTACTGGATGCTGCAGAAGTTTCAGGAATCTCGGTTTCCGCCGAACAATCATCCATCGTGGTAAAATGCCGACCTGGAAACCGAAAATAGCGGTAATTTCCCCGATACTAAGTGTAGTAACAGTTAAACATCCAAACAGTCGGGGAGAAAATACCAAAAGGTTTAAATATCCAAAATTCTACCTCATTCATTAGTCCAAATCACGAGCGGGACTTTTGAATACCGCTCAAGAACGAGTGCATTTTGCAGATTTCGGCATCCTTCTTGACCCTCTCTGGAGATTCTGCCCAGTGTCCAAACCGCATTTTCAGTGGCTGACCGGTTATCAGAAGTCATATCCGTGCAAAATTTAGCCTAACAGGCGCCTTCCAAACGGTATTCCTGACTCGCAAAAAATCTTACATGATATAACCACAGCGGAGTAGCCACCAATACACTTTCCTTATTTTACAGGCAAGGAAGTCTCCCTTTGCTCCCCTCCCTTACCTCCTTTTTCTGATCATAAAGAAAACTTCCCCAACCTTGAAAAAGTTTTTCCAAATGTTTCTGGCATAAATATTCTCAAAATTTTGAAAATTTTTGGATCCAAAATCGAGGTAATTGGCATGAAACGAAACAATACATGTTGGAAAATAAGCATCATTTTTGTTATAAAAATTTATTACAGTTTGTAGAATGCAATTAATGAAAAAGCAATGGTATTACTTAACATGTATATCTGGTACTTCCAAAAAAACAGGAAGCCATTACAGGATGTACATCTTTGTGGTACCACGACAGTTCAGAAGCCATCCTGGCTGTACAGAACGCGGTGCCACGCTGAGAATATACAGCTAAAAAAGTGATAATTGAAAAAGCAGCAATCTCCTCCAAGCTGTATAAAAAATGATGGTAGACCATTTTGAATTATTTTGCTTTTTTTTATCATTTTTTAGCATCCGAGTCTAATCTAGCTTCTGAGAATCACTGGTACCATGACAGAGACAAGTAATACTGTGTTGGTATCAACAAAGGCGACAAAACTATTCGAAACTGTACAAAAACTAGTGTACCATGGATATGAGCCATTCTGAATCCATTTCACTTTTTTACCGTTTTTAGCAATCCAGGCTCAACCTGGGGTGCTATGACCTAATTGCTAGTATCACGAGAGAGAGAGGTCACTTTTGCATAAAAATTTTGGTATCAACAAAGATAACAAGCTATTCGATTTTGTAAAAAAAGTGATACCACGGAGATGAAAAATCATTCTAAAGGCAATTTTGTGGCATTACGATACAGACTGATCAATTTAAGTGTACAAATGAGTGGTACAACAGCGATACTTTGTGCGTATTACAAATGGATGGTACCACAAATGCAACAATCACATTTTTTCAACTATATAAAATACATATGAAATACATTATATCATATAAAATACATTATATCAAAAAGTCGGCAAGCCAAACTGGACTGAATGCATATATAAATGGTACCATAACAGAGACACGCAATTCTGAGTATACTAATCGGCAAAACCACGAGGGCGGTGAGCCATTTTAATTGCTACGCTTCTGTTAACTATCCTTTTCATATATGGCCAGTTTTTTGAGGCTGCACTGATGATTCCCACTCCTAGTCGCTTCGGATTCTCTGTCTGTCTGTGTTTACGGCTAAGGGATGAAATACAGGTTGTAAACTTACGTTTGTATCTTATGTAATTTTCAACAATCTTCCTAGGTATAAATTTTAATATAGGTAACATCTCAGATGTGAAACGATAAGCCATCCCTGGAACTCCTAACGTGCGAAACGGATGAAATCGCCAAGTGAGATGACTTTTTGCATAAATTCTAATTGCAAAGCAACACAAATATGACAATTTCAAATGATTTTACATCCTGAATGTGGAAAATGGAATTCCTGATGCGTAAAACGAGTGAAATCGCCAGGCGAGATGACATTTTGCATAAATCCTGATTGAAAAGCATCACAAATATGACAATTTCAAGTGATTTTACATAAAAAAATGGTACCACAAAAGTAATAAGCCATCCTGCCTGTCTGTACAGGCATAAAATAAGTAGTTTTGCGCAGGCCACGGTTCAATACGATTGGAAAAATGAGGGATACTTCAAAAAGACTGATTGTATAACTGCATATTTAAGTAGTACCGTAGAGATGCTGAGCCATATGGCTTCACAGATAAATGCCATTCCAAGGGCCACTGACAAATGAAAAGGGCCACAAAAGTTTCTATACAATTCTGATCGAATATAAAAACAGTAATCAAACTACTACTACTATCATACAAGTCAATTTTTCACACCGAAACGTCTTATCTCGCTCTTATATCCTTCTCTCTCATACTATAATCTACCTCGCTTTCGCCATTTAGGCTTTCAAGGTCAATCTGATTGCTACAATCTGCTTGTTACACACCCAATTCATCTCCCCAAAAAAGGCAATACAAAGAAACTCGTTGGAACGGCGGGGAGGAAAGGAAGAATAACAGAAGCGGAGGAAAAGAGGATCAGTAAAAATATGAGAAAGAAAAAGAAGAAAAAGTAAAAAACAGAGATCAACGATTCCTTTCAAAATTCCTAGAAACACAAGAAAAAAGCCGAATTTTCGGGTGGTGCTCAGATGACCGGTGGAAGACAATGACCTCTAGAAGGACGACATCTGATCGAAGGGTGCATCGAAGAAAGGATCGAGCTCCAAAGGCTGCCGATCATCACCAGCGCCATCAAAAAAGACATCATCAAAATCTGCGCTGTATCCAATATGTATCGGTGGCGCTTGAAATTCTTGCTGCTGCTGCTGTTGTTGTTGTTGTTGCTGTTGTTGTTGTTGTTGTTGTTGCTGTTGTTGTTGCTGTTGTTGCTGTTGTTGCTGCTGTTGTTGCTGCTGCTGCTGAAATAAATGCTTTTAAGGTATTTATATCCAAATAGATACAAACCGTTTGTAGCAAAATCCGAACCATAGGCGGATCTATGACGGGAGGTAGGGGGGACACCGGGGAAGAGGGGGAGGGGGGTACACTCCCAAAAAAGTGTGAGTTCAAAGCTAAAACTGAACAAAACTCTCTTCCGCACTCGCCGTCACTCCTCCCCCCAGAAGCCCCACTTTCCTTTTTTCCCCCAATTGTTGCCCCTCCCTTCCCCGTCCTTTCCCCGCCCCCCCCCGCGCTAGGAGCACGTCCTGAACCGCCTATAATCCAGACAAATATTCGTTACCAGTGAATGATCCGGAGAGACTTTCGTCACCAGTGACTCATCCGGACGGACATTTATTACCCTAAAATCACCTGGACAGACACTACCAAACGAATCATTCGGACGGACCGAATCACCCAGACAAACATAACTGTTGTAGAAATTTTAGAGGTGTAAACACATAAGCGGATGCAGGGCGGTCCCTGGGTAGGGGAAAGGAGGGGAGGGGAGAGGAGAAGGTGACAGGGGATACCGAACAGACTTTTGTACAGTAAAACAACCACTAACTAAGTCGCTGGGGAGTGAAAGGGCGGATCCAGGGCGGTCTCCTGGGCAGGGGAGGGGGAGGGCGATAGGGGATACCAGACTTTTGTGCAGTAAAACAGCTACTAACTAAGCCCCTTGGGGTTAAAAGTCCTTC